TCAGATAGATATAATCGAATTAGTTAAATTGGAAAACTGAGAAAATATAATATATTTATTTTTGCATCCCTATGATACAAACTTATTTACTCAAATAAATGTATTAAAATGGCAGTATAATATAGTTATCCCATCTTATCGTTTATTTAATATCATGTATGCAAAATTTACAAATAATGTAACTTTTTCTCTTAGACACAAATTTTATTTTTAATTCATGCTTTCGCTATGAAAATTATAATTAAAACTGGTTAATCGAGGATATGAAGACCAAGATGGTGTGACCTCCGGTGTAGTCGCAGTCTCCTTTCGATTTATAGAAGTGGGTTGATTTCATTCTCGCAACTTGGACTTGTTGTCAAGAAGACTTATTAGAACGCAACTAATTCAAGTCCTTTGTCATAGTAGTTTTCATAATTCCCAGCATCAAACAGTTAACTTGGTACATTCTCAAACGTTTCACCGGCATCGTAGTCGGCATCATCAGTCAGTGCTGCTATTCTCCACACTAAACTACGAAGTCTTCTCGGGGTCAACAAGACCAAATGGCGACAACGAAGTCAACACACTTTTAAAACTGGTTATGTCTAGGAAACCTATTGCCTTTGTGTAAAATGTTGGCCAGATTTAAATAATCGTTGCTTCCAATGGTACAACAATATATTAATCATGAATAGTAGCTTTCTTATCACAGGGATGTGATTCACTTACGCTTGTCTACAGCAAACAAAAGCATGCTGTATCTTCTTAAACTAATTAATGAAAATAAAATGCTTATCAAACGTAAATAAGTTTAGAATTTTGTCGAATTTAGGAGTGACTAATACAAAGTCTTAATAAAAAGTCTGCATTTACAGCTTTTTATATATTCTCGTATACTCTTGAACCTATTTATAACAAATTTACATAAATATTCTAATAATATTTATAAAGGAATCTAAGATGCTATTTCAATTGGGGTGTTATTAAATTTTGAACTCCTCATACAAATTTTAAAGAGATCTTTACGCTAATTAAATTATTTGATTTCTAGATCTATAATTTTAAGTTTAAATGGTTTTATAAATAAGCTCATGAAAGAAACAGCTATATAGAAATTTCTTGCCAAC